AATTATTTTAAATTAAATAATTAATTTACTCATTATATTTAAATTGTAATATAAAAAAATGATAGAATTTTGAACCTTTTTTTTTTTTGGATTCTAATTGTCAAAAAATTTATTTTTTCTTTAATTAACTGAGTGATTTTACAAATTTTTTAATCATATTTATTGAATTAATAAAATAATTTTACTGTGAACATTTTAATTAATAATTAATAATCAAAACATTTAATAATTCTTATTCTTTTTATGTCAACATAACTTGGGGTTGCCCCTATAAATTTAGCAGTGTTACCATGCCCTATGTATTAATAATCATTCTAATATCTAACCAATCAAAAAATAAATCTACAATTCTTTGCACCTAATGGCTAAAGCAATCATAGATTATAGAAATATATTAATATTCTAATATATTTAACTTTTCTATGCATAGAAAATAATTATGTAATTACCATATATTGTCAGACTTTTTTTTTAAACTATTATGACTTCATACTTTTTAGCTAATTTAACTTACTTTTTATATATATAATATTAGTATGATATGGATATGTGTGTAAATTATTATATAGTTAGGAAAACTTTAGTTAAAATGTAAAAAACGCCATTAATTCTGCAAGATTTTAAATAAAACATTAAAAATGAAGTGTGAACAATAATACGTAAAGAACGCCTAATATATTCATTATATTTAATATATAAATATTTATTATTATTTGTTTTAGGTATTGAATTAATGGAAAATAATGCAACTCTTGAAGATATTAGTCCAGGTGTGATGTATAATTCACAGTTTATTACACCAATTGAACAGATGGTATCAGAAGAAGAATTACGAATGTTAGGTTTAAATCCAGAAGAACTGTTACAAACCTTTGATAATTCATCCAGTAGTCTTGATACTTATGATGATTTTCTGGGTAGTGAATTTAATGATGATGATGATGATGATGATTATGATGATGATTTTGATTTTGAACGAATAGATGTAGATGATGACAATGACACTGATTCTCGTTTCATCTTTAATAGGAATCATTTTGAAAGAGCGTTCTTGCCACAAGTCACAGTTTTAAACATAAATAATTCTTTGGACAGAATTTCAAGACAATTACCTGCACTGATCACAAATGCTGATGTACATTCTGAACATTCTGAACATTCTGAACATTCTGATTTTATTTCAAGTACTTCTGAGGATGATAGTTATCCACGTATCCCTGAGGAAGATAGTTCAATGCATAGTGATTCATCAGCGGTAAATGTTCCATCTGTGGATAGTATTTCAACTATGGACAGTGAAGAAAGTTGTTTTCACTGTATTTCATATTCAGGAAGTAATGATAACAGTATTTCCAGTTTTTCTCCTGCAGATGTAAGAAGTTCATATTCTAGTTCTCCAAACAGTCTCAGTGAATCAGAAGATTCCAATTCACATTCTGTCAGTGATTCCAGTTCCTCTTATTAAGATCAGAAAATTTTTATTGTAATATTAAAATTAAATATAAAATATATTCAAGTGCCAATATGCATTATATTATTAAATATATTTGTATTTTCTATTATAAAATATTTAATAGATTACTTATAAGTGAAAACTATTTGGAATAAGTTATTTATTAATATAGTTATAATATTAAATAAATAAATTTATAAGTAAGTTTTGTATGTTTTTTTTCTTCTGAAAAATGCTCATTAAATTTCGTGTTTTTTTTTTTTTTTTTTTTTTATGTATAAATATTGTGCTGATTTTTTTAGAAAGTATCCCTGGAAGTTATTACTATCAATTATAAAAAAATTATTTTGTAAATACAAAATTTTGAAATGTTTTCTTTTTTTTGTCTTGTTTTCAACCTTATGGTTGGTTTTGCAGTTGAATACGAGGTGTGATCAAAAAAATACCCGGACTGCGTTAATAATACTTATATCTGTTAAGATAACGAAATTCCGATAATGTCATTCGATAAAGTAACTTCTAACGAGGATTTGAGCGTTGGTTTGAAATCGATAACAATATTTATATTTATTTTATGTTATTTTTACAAAAACATGCTTCAGTTGTGTGGCGAATTCCATAATGGAAGGAATAGAAGAACAACGTGTGCGCGTAAAATTTTGTTTTAAATTAGGAAAAAGTTCGAGTGAAACTTTTGAACTTTTGCAGTAAGCTTTTGGAGATGATGTTCGGGTATTTTTTGATCACACCTCGTATATGCTATCTATTTCTTATTTCCAGCTAACCTTTTTAGTTCTTAATAGCTTGATAGTATAACATCGGAGATCATGTGTTCAACAATTTAAGTTCTTGGATGTCCTCGTTCGATCTCTCTTATGTTCCATTGTTTTGCTTTGATGATTTGATTTTATTATTATTTAAAAGTTAACAATAACCATAGTTCTTATTATAAATATAATACAGTAAAAATAAATAAATTCTAATGAGGCTGATAGGTAAATTTTACAGGAGTGTAGTGAGACCAACAATGCTATATGGTTGGTGGGGTTGACAGAAGAATAGAACAGAGTATGAGTGTTGCGAAAATGAGGATGCTTAGATGGATAAGTGGAGTGACAAGAGAAGATAGAATAAGAAACGAATATGTAAGGGGTTACTATTAGTGTAGCGTTGATAGTGGTCATGATGAGACAAAATAGACTGAGATAGTTTAAGCATGTGATAAACCGAAAGAAAACAAAAACAGTAAGAGTGGTTATGAAAATGAATGTTGAAAGGAAAAGAGATGGTTGGATACGATTTAGAATTTTTTAGTGCTGTTGGTGTATGCGTAGAGGATGTAAGATATCGAGTCTAGTCCAGGTTTAGGACAAAGGTGGCTGACCCTAAATAATTGGGAGAAAAGCGAAGAAGATTAAATGAAATATTTACACTTAACTTTGGATCTTTGAATAAGTAATGAGTATGATAAAACTTATTATTGAATACATGAGCTGCCATAAATGTTATGAACAAAAATTTCTTAATTTAGTAGATAATGGCCTAATATGGCACCATTGTACCAGTGCCAATCCGGTGCAGAATTTTGCAGGACCCCATATATATATATATATTATTTATTAATTTATTGATTGTTTATAGAAATCTATGTTCATATTATTATATAATTAAATATATAGGTACTTTAACTAAGACTGTGAATCTATAGGAAAGTGCCTTTTTTTTTTTTTTGTGATTGTACAACATAGCTGTGTAAGTACATAATTTGAATTATGTAACTACGAATCCGTTTATGCTACTTTTATTTTGCATTTTTTTTGACGTTTTTAATTTTTTATGTCGTTTTTGTGCAATTTTAGGTTTTTTTTCCTTTTTTTTAGTTCATTTTCTTGAATTTTTGATCAAATTCTAAAGACTAAAGATGATTAAGGAACCCGATAATAAATATATTTAAGTTTGTTTTATTATTTTAACAGAATAAATACTAAAAGAAAAAAAAATTATGAAAAATATTTTAGGTGAATAGCATTAATATAGAAAATTCAAATTCAATCAACATTTTTATTATTTTTTTTTTTTTATTAAATAAACATTTATGCGTGTAATGTATTAAATTAATGTATTAATGTATTAATGTATAATATCTTGTACCTAATATTAATATTAATATAAATATAAAAATTAAATTAAAAACATTTTGAATTAATTTTATAATATAATTTTTGGTATTTTATGATGCATATTTTGCATTTGAAGTGCATATTTTAATGCATTTTTTAAGGTTCTTTGGTGCATTAAATTCATTGCCCTAACTATAACTATATATCGAACCGTCGTCGACAATAAACAATTTTACATGTGCATGCGCGTTAAGGGTGTATTTGAGGGGGGGAGCGAAGGTGGCATTCGCCCCATGGCTCGTATTTTTTTTGAATATAACACATCGATTTATTTAAAAAATGTAATGTACCTATAAATAATTAAGAATATAAATTACTGGTCTATCATTATAACAGGAACATGAGCTGTAGGTAATGAACTGTAAATTATTTTAAATTTGTATTGAAGAGAAATTAATTTCGCCCCCCTTCCCCTCCCTGGCCTAAACTCAAATATGCCCTTGATGCGCGTACAATACTTCAAAACTATGCGTAATTGGTTCCGTCTTAATTTTCGTTGATACCAACCCGTTTCCTGAGAAAACCACACGACTACACAGGTTGCGATTTGCGTACTGGAACTATATTATTTTTATTAATAGATAAAGTGATATTTATAGTACATAATTTGTGGGGCCCTGTACGATCGAATCGTTTGTCCCCCTCTAGGGCCGGCACTGCATTGTGCCTAACTTCAAGGGGAAGTTAAGTTTAAATATTTTTTTTAAAAAAAATAATGCATGCATGAAAGTATTAATTCTACGGATTTGGTATCATTTTTGGCATATTATAATCAAGGTCCGGTACTTAAGGCATTTATAATATTTGTCTAAAAAGTACATATTGAAATTCTGATTCGATCTTAGTACGTGGGTTTCAAATACAATTTTTTTTTTTTTTTGCTTAACTTTGCATATTTTGTTATTTTTTGTAGGAATTTGCATAGTTTAGGTTTAAAAACTTTCATATGCATATTTCATAAATTTAACAAAACTGTTATAGTATCATCATAGTAAGTTTTTAATTAATAATTATGTATGATAAATATTACTATGGATCATAATTATTAATTATGTATTATGTTTATTAAAAAACCCTTCAAATCTTGACTGTAGAAACTACTTTATATTTTATCTATAAAAGCTAAAGCTTATATTACTTAAGCTTTTCTCCTGATTCAAGTGTAATAATAGTTTATTTCTCATCATAAAATTGGAGTTAATACTCAACCGAGATAAATGGTATATATACATATATGATTATCTAGCCTATAATATTTATATCTTGTCCATACTGAAAAGTAAAATATACGTATGAATTATACTTTAAAATTATATTATTTAATTAAAGTTTCTTTTTGGAATTCACTTAACTGGTTTATTTTACAGTATGTTTCTGTGGCAAATCGCAAAAACTAGTACCGTGCTCTGCAGAAAATGCCATGGTGGTGTACTATGATTGTGGAAAATTATGTGGAAAAAAATTGTCTTGTAACAATCACACATGCAATAAAACATGTCATATTGGTTCATGTGAACCATGTAAATCATTGGATATTGATAAATGTCCTTGTGGAAAACACATTTTTACACAAGAAGAACTCAAGAATCGTACAATATGCACTCAGCCGATCCCTACATGTGGTCAGTTATGCGAAAAGCCTCTTCAATGTGGTCCACCTGGTCTGTTAACAATAATGATTCTCCTCACCATTGTATTTATTTATTTATTGTATTTAATTATGTAGATAATCCACATATATGTGAAAAATACTGTCATGAAGGCCCATGTGGGCCCTGTGAGTTAAAAACCAAGTATATTTGTAAATGTGGTAGTAGATCAAAAGAAATAAAGTGTAATTCAGTGACTAGTGAACTGACTTGTAAAAAAAAATGTAATAAGGTAATATTGAAGCTAACATATAATAGATGGGATTTAAATAATTATAATGTTTATAGATGATGTCTTGTGGTAAACATAGATGTATGGTAATGTGTTGTAATGCACAAGTGCACGAGTGTAATAGAATATGCAATGGACTTTTAAATTGCCGTCAACATCGTTGTGAACGTATGTGTCATACAGGAAGCTGTGCAGTGTGTTATGAAGCAAGTAGGTGCAATTTTTATATGTTAAAGATGTATAAAGTTATAAATTAAATATGTTTAAGATTAATTGGCTCTATGATTATTTTCTCTTATAATGATATTTATAAAAACAGTACTTTTAAACATAATTTCGTGCATGAGTTAGGTTAAATGAGACTTAATTAGAAATTACATCAAACAAAGCACTGATACTGTATTAATTAATGTATAGGAAAATGATTTTAAGGAGTATTATTTTATTTTTTTTTTTTTGGCACATTTTATGAAGTGAAATACTTTGTCACAGAATTCTTTAAATGTCTATGCTTTTATATATTATCATATTATTATTTATACTGAATTTTATTTCTTTGATCTAAAATTATTTATTATAAAACTATTTATAATACATTAATATTTAATATTCTTATTAATTATATTTAATTCACAATATCTTGTTATATCTTGTCTATATTATTTACTTTTATAAAAGAAATAACTTTTAATTCTTAAATATTTTTGAAATATGTATTATAAATATATATAAGGTCCAAGTTGTATTCTTGATCTTGTTTTCAATACTTATTTTTCTTTTATATTTATACATACATAATATGACACATATTATGTGTAATTGTTATTGTGAATTATTTTATATATATTATTAAATTATATTTGTAGGTTTTGATGAGTTATATTGTCGATGTGGAAACAGTTTTATTCCTCCACCAATCAGATGTGGTACTCGTCTTCCACTCTGTACATTACCCTGTTCACGAGAACATGAATGTGGTCATCCTGCTACACATGTTTGCCATGACGAAGAAGAATGTCCTCCTTGTATAGCTCTTACTGAAAAATTATGTTTTGGTGGTCATGAGGTATGATAGGCAAACTTTATATTACTACAATATGTTCTACAGTAAACATTTTTCAATTTCATTTAGTTACGCTTCGCTATACCATGTCATATAAAAAATGTTTCATGTGGAATGCCATGTGGCAATCCACTGCCTTGCAATCGACATACCTGTGCCAAGCCATGTCATGCACCGCCTTGTAACACTGGACCTTGTCGATTACCTTGCAACTTACCCAAATCAGATTGTGGTCATCCATGTTTAGTACCTTGTCATGATGGTCCATGTCCTCAAAAAGCATGTAAAACAATGGTAATACTTCTGTTAACTTTTATGTTGATTGTGTAAAAATATAATTAAAGAAAAAAAAAATGTCTAGGTTAATGTAAGCTGTATTTGTGGAAATTTAACTGAAACTAGGGTGTGTTCAGACACCAAAGTCATTGAATATCGTCTTAGGGTTAGAACTCAATCAATGAGCTTTCTAGATAATATAGTTGACTTGTCACCAACTAACAAAACATATAAAATGTAAATTGTTTTAATATTTTAACACTACTATAATATTGAATTTTTTTATAATTTTGGTCATTTTTAGTTTGGAATGTACAACAGAATGTGCTAAATTAGAAAGAAACCGTCGTATAGCTCTTGCATTACAAATTCGCAATCCTGACTTATCGCCTAATGTTACTCCAAGATATTCTGATTTTATGAAAGAATTTGCTAAAAAAGATGCTCCTTTCTGTAATTATATTCACGAAAAACTTGCTGAATTGGTCACTAATACTAAACAAGTGAGTTATTTTTACAATATTCGATTTGAATATTTTTTGATAAAATGACTATTAAATAATCATGCAAATATATTCTCAAAATATCAATCCAAAAGAATGTTTCATATAGTATTTAATATTTAATGCATATGTTAAAAATATTCTGATGTGTTAATTTTATAGTAGAAGTTACATAAAATGTAACTGTAAAAATTATATACTAAAATTTAGTTGTAAAGTTATTTTAAAATTCTATTCATAATTTTAAATAACTCTGAATTGATTGAAACTATAAATTTTGAATTAGGAAAAAAGATTTTATTTTATATTCCAAAAAAGTATAAATATGTAAGATAACATTTTGGGAAATTTTATAAAAATAAAAATGGAAATATGATACTTATCTAGTACTTGTAATATTTATAGTCAAATAAAAGTTCTCGAAGTCATTCATTTGAGGTAATGAAATTTGAAAAACGGAAATTAGTACACGAATATTGTGAACATTTTGGATGTGAATCTGCAGCTTATGATGCTGAACCAAATAGAAATGTTTTGGCTATTGCCAGCAGAGAAAAGGTATTTTAATTATTAAATATTTATTTCCTCTTCAAATTAAATAACGAACTGTTTCAATATTCCTATTATCCTTACACTATTACTCTAATATTCTTCCTAGAAATTAAAATGAAGTATTCTATAATTTCTATCAAAGATAAATTGTAATTATATTCATTATAACATATTTTTAAATGTTTTTTTTTAGTCATGGCTTCCAAATTACAGTGTAGTAGAGGTTGTTCAACGTGAAAGTGGATGCCCAAGAGTTAATCCATTTGCAAGTATCCAAAAACGCAACACGACCATTTTAAATAAAAAATTTTAAAATATTTTAATAATTTAGTAAAAAAAAAATATAAATATTAAAAAAATTATAGATAAAAATATAGATATTTCAAATGCATGCTATTTACTTTATAATTCTTGTATATAATCATTTTTTGACTATTGGATATTTTATGATACAAAGAACATTATTGCTTATTAATACGAACACGTGTGATGAAAATTGATTAAACATAATATGATGTAAAAATTTAAGATCACATATTTTATAATTTAAGACCATTTTAAATTATTAGATTGTTGCATTTCCCCGAACAAATGTAATATGTGGGTTTCAATACCAAATATCAATTTCCCAAAATCTATATTTACTGATTGAACAATTTAATATTACATTATGGTATAATGCTGAGATTCTCAATCATTTTAAGGCTACGACCTCTGATAATGTCACCAAGATTTTGAGTTACCATTTTATGATTACATTAAAAGTAATGATAAATTAATATGAATAATATAGCATTGTATTGACAATCCTAAACTTTTATTAATTGCAATTCATAACAATGATTATCATGATGATATTTAAAACACCTTACTAATTGTTTTATATATTGGTAACCCTAAAAAGATTGTTTGTGACCCCCGAGTTTGAAAATTGCTGGTATGATGGGCACTTACCATAAATTATTGTGATACAATATAAATATATGTCTTCAATTAAGTATTTATATTAATTAGAATTTTTGAACAGTTCAAATACCTAGGTTCTATTTTGTCTGAAAAATATAATGTATCAATCAAGGCAGCAGCAAGAATCCAAGCTGGGAATAAATGTTACTATGGACTGACTAAGGTACTAAGCTCACGAGCAGTATTGCAAAGATTGAAAGAACAATTATATACGTCCGGTTGTAGTGTATGGATCGGAAATATGGCCACTCAGAAAAATGGACCAGCAAAGATTCTTGGTCTTTGAAAGAAAAGTGTTGAGGAAATATATGGCCCGGTCAAAGATGAAATAACTGGGGAGTGGAGACAAAGAAAGAACTTAGAGCTGGAAACATTATACAGCAGTTCAGATGTATTGGAGGTTATCAGAAGCAGAAGACTACGGTGGGCTGACCACGCTTGGAGGAGCCAAAATCCACTATTACATGCAGTGATTGAACGAAACCCTGTAGGTAAAAGACCTCTGGGAAGACAATATAAAGGACGTTGAACATTTAAGTGGTGCTTCCAATTGGAGAGATCTGGCATTGGATAGAGTAGGATGGAGCTTGGTTGTGAGACGAGATGGTTTTAAAGGCCCAATAAACCCAAAAAAAAAAAAAGAATTGTTGAATAAATAAGGTACTATATGTCTACAAAAAATAAGACATTAAAAAAGATCTTAACTAAAAAATAAATTGCAAAATAATTTATCAGACCTTTAACTAGAATAAGTTCATAAATCAAAATTTTTCAAAACAATATGTACTTAGTAAACAAAATAGTATATTTAATTAGTATAACAATAAAAATAATAAAACACTGTACACACAGTTTTATACATATTATGCAACTTGACCATTTGAGATTATAATAGTTTAACACAATTATTTCTTTCAACACAATACAAACAGGTAAGAATAAAATTAATAAAAATATTTATGAATTAATATGCAAAATAATAGTAAAAAATACACTCAAAATATCTATTAATGATCTTAAATAATACAGTGAAGATTTTTAGTTTATCTGTATCCCTAAAAATTAAGGATTAAACATTTAAGTGATATAGATTGAAATTTTAATTTTTTGATATTGTGATAAATGATTGCAGATAACATTTAAATATTAATATTTAAAATATATATTTTGAAACGCCTTAATATATAGTTGCAATATTTAAATAGTAAATATATAAAATTAAATATGTTCAAATAGATAATGACAGTGGCATAGTTACGGGGGAGGGGGGTATAAGGGGTTCACACCACTCCCACACATTTTTTTTCAATGATATTTACATATTATAGTAAAATTATATTTTCATTTAAAAATTGAGGAACAAAATAATTTTCATCAAATCTTCTTCTTGTGGGTTATAGCCTTCAAGACCATCCCTGCAAACAAATTTTCCGCCATCTTTCCCTATCCTCTACAGCTTCTCTCCATTGTGTAATTGGTTCTACTGCTTTAACATCCTTTTTGATACGATCCTCCCATCATAAACGCTTTCTTTCTTTCTTCTTTCTAATTTTCATCAAATACGGGACATAATAATATCATTTTAAATTTAATTTTATTATATAGGACCTAGTATTAAGATATGCAATAATTTAATGAAATTGACTCTTAAACACCCCCCCTCCCCGCAGAAAATAATTTGTATCTACGCCACTGGATAATGAACACAGTTCCATAAATTGGCGGAATACCAGGTTTTGATTAAAAATAACTTTAAAAATTATTATTATTAACTAAGGTTAGTATTGAAATATTACATTTTGAATATCAATCACTAACATTTATTTGAATACTTTGAAAAATGATGCAACACTTTCAGTAGTTTTAGACTTCTTTTTTTTTTTCTATCTGATTGCTTCGCCGTTGTCCTTGAATTGGCATATACGGAGGAACATCATCTAATGATGACGAAAGAGCTGTGGAAGTATCTACAAAAAAATTTACAGTTGATAAATAAGTTAAAATGAACATTAAATTTGATATAATTTGACACTTACAAGGTATATCTTGTAGTTCTGTTCTTCTTGAACTATAAGTTGGATCAATAGCAATTGCAATATTAGAGAGAGGTTCTTGAGTAGGAACCATAATTTCAGATGATTCATCCAATTGCTGCTGTTGTTTTTTTAATAATGCTTTTTGCTTAGCTTTTTCACGAGCTCTTCTCAATCGCGCTTTTTCCTAATACAATAATACTTTTAACAAAATTCTAACAACAAATTTATAAACCTCACTTTTTCTTGTAAAAGTTTAGCCAGTTCACAGTCTTGGGTTTCAATAGCAATCAATCTATCTCTATCTTCAACAGACAAAGGACATCCTTCTTGTTCTTGTAAGCGTTTTGCTAATTCCTAAATATATTGATTATTATTTTTTGTAGAAATATTATAAACATACAACACATAAGTTACAAATATCAGATATAAAAATCAATTATATGATCACGTTCACTCAATAGTGCAACTTAGGATATATTAGATTTTTAAGAAATTTTAATTTTTCTTTAGTAAATTTTTTTAATAAATACATAATAATTTTGCTATAATTATATGTTATGAATATCAAATAAAAACCAATTATAAGTTTTTAGAACTCAAATTACTTAAATAGTTGCACTATTGCTTACATTTACAATTCTGCAGATGGTCCAGAAGAATATGACGAGTGTAACTCTAGTCACGATTGAGAATATAAACGTGCACTAAAGGCTACACCCGTCAAATGCTCAAGACTATAGATGCTTACAAATTAAGATATATAATTGAAGACAAAAATGAATGACTTACAGCATCCTTCTCTTCTTGGATTCTACGGTTTACCTCTTCCTCATAATCAATTCCATGCAAAATATCATCAATGTCAAATTCAGTATATTCATTAGACTCGACCATACTATAGGAAAACAACCAATATTCAAATGCTGAAATCTGAATTGAAAGTGAAAAAAAAAATTTACCTCTTAGTAAACTGAGGCGAACACTGTTTTTTCAATATTCCTGGTCTACTCCCAGATGGATTTGTCTTTATTCCAAAGGAATGTGTTCCTTTTTTTTTTGATAATTGTTCTGCTAATTCCAATGCAACTTTGAGATCTTTTTCTTCCCTAAACAACAAAAATAAAAATTAATAACTATCATTATTTATGAATAACTATTGTTAATGCAGTATTATTTATCATAGATATCTAATGTATAATTTATTTATAAAATTTATAATTATTCTGCAAGTTAATATAAATTAATAAATTATAAAATAATTATACACAAATGAACAATTATTTAATTACATCCTGTATACTTGTATTAAAATTCCTACATTATAAAGTATAAGTTAGAATTAGAACAAAATATAACAATAACATAATATGAACCAATGAAAATAACATAAAAAATGTTTAAACAAAAACATACTGAATTTGATCGAAAACCCTTTAAAAATTGTGAAACTTACTGTTCTTTGATAAATGCACAATAACGTTCTTCAGCTTCACGTACTTCACGTTCCTGTTCCTCCTTGGCTGTGGGCAAGTCTTGTCGAACAATGGCATTTCGTGAACGATTCCCACTGTAATGTTCGTCGACTGAAAAACGATTGGAAAATTGTAAAATTTAGCTGGGAAAACAATATGGAACAACGTCGGCCTATTTGGACAACAATAAACAACTGTGTAATACTGACCTTCCAATTTTTGTAAATGATACGCCAAGGCGCTGTCTTCGTGGACTAGCCATTCTTTGCACACTATAAAATAATTTCAAGTAAAAACATAAGCATTCAGTGTATAACAATACTGCCATCGCCGTCTTAAACAATAAATTATATTATGTCGAGGTCTCTCCGTACGTTCCGTTCAAACGAACACAAATGAAAACGACTGCAGGGGAAAAATAGTTTGAAACAGGTACCTGTAGGGCAGCAGCAACGCGTCAGCCAACCGACTGGTCTATTGTTCAATGTGAGAACAAACTGTGAGAAAATAATGACGAAAAAAAAGGACCTATACGAGGAGGTTCATTGTAATGGAAAGTCACAATGGATTCACGCCTGGATGAATCGTAATGTGCGTGCGTAAGTACGAGTATAGTGTCAGGTTTGCCAACCGGTTAACTTGTAGAGCGTTTCTCTGAATTCATGCGGTATATTAGTTATTTTTACATATAATTATTACATAATAATTAGACGCAGGTGGAAGTCATGGGTGTGAAGGGGGAGAAACGCACAAACGGGATGATGATCGCGAGAAATTTAGAAAACGTAACAAAAGCTAAAAAAAAAAAATGATCGAAAAACAACGAGTTGGTCAACCACATAAAATGTTGGCCGGGTGCACGCTAATGGCGATAGGTCGGTACGTCAACTGCGGACAAGCCACTACCTGTTGCTCCGAGGGCAGCAGGTGGTTTTCGGCGGCAATGGGGTGCGGCGGCGTTCCCGTATCTCCTCCTCCTCTCTTCATAACGAATGCAACAGCAGCAGTAACGATGATGGCGGCGACGGTGGTGGCGACCATGGGGGAACGACGATAAATTCCACGGGTTCGAAAAATCGAGCACGAGGCGAGTGGGTCGACCGGATAGAGCAAGAAATCCGTGTTAAAAATAAACATAGTAATATAGTTGAAACGTGATGAAAAATAAAAAACCGATAACGAAAACGACTTTGCGGCAAAAACTCTCCGACGCGAGGGGGAAACATAAATTTAAAAAAAATTGAAAATAAAAGTAAAATGTTATCCTCGTACGATTTGGTTTCGACGATTCATGTTTGCACCATTTCACCCACGATGTAAGCATGTCGTGCACGCGCAAATCACCAAAGGTGATCGTCACCGCACGATTGGTAAGGCGCGGGTGTGCGTAGTAATATATTTTATTTCCACCGCGTTACCGCCAAGTGTCCACCTAACACTCCCTCCCCCACAAGCGCGGGCGAACCCACCGACTCGCCACGACCGTTAACCACCGGTTGTGGCGCCCGACCGACGAACCGAGACGACACGTCCGCTGCTGACCGATGTAGATTGGTTAGTATGTCTCCGTACCACCAACACAACCGTTTCGACGAGGGGGCACACATGGACACGAAGCTGCGACGTCATTAAGTTTTTATTTTTTCGAAACCAATAAACACAGCAATAATCATACTACTAAGACACTTGGAGGTGGTGAAGGGAAAAGGGTACGTCACACGTTCAGCAACCCCATTGTAACAAAATGTACCAAATAAAACCAATAATATAAAAATCAAATTTAAAAGAAAATTTAACACTACTTAATCTGCTCCGCCTAGTGCTAACCAAGCGACTTTGCTGGCATCCTAAATCTTATGCTTATTACACTCGATATTATGAATAGGAGAGAAAAAAACGAATCATTTATGGATATCCGAAAATAATATAGACAATATTAGGTGATATTCGTCAAGTCATAATTTTGTCGAAAACTTTTTAATTACTTACTTAAAAATATTTGAGCGCAAAATAAGTATGCCACTCATAATAAATATTGTCATTTTCTTCGAAGATTTAACTTCAACGTTATTCAAAGACTCCAGAACGATTTCAACCTCTGACGACACTATCATCATTGCAAATCACATTAATTGGGAACGATGAGGTCTGCGAACCAAGTTAAACGAGAAAACCGAAAAAAATAAATGGAATATTGTCATGAAATGATATACATATATACGTGGACGTTGAATGTCAAACATAGTGTAGGCAGGTTTCCGCATTTTCAAATAATATTTACTTGAAACGAATAAAATGAATAGTAATAATGTTCCGACAACAACACAATATTTTTGACAGGTACACGGTTAGTACCTAACCTAACTCGTTGTAAAAAGCACTTTCACGAGTCCAATTATTTGCTTCAATGAGTGTCGTGGTATATTAAATAGAAATAAAATCTCACTATTTTTCTATATACATACACAATTACTCGAATTATATGGTAATATTTTTAAAAAGAATTTCGCAATTTTTGGTTATGAAAATATTTAACAGCCACGCTAATTTTTTTTTTTGTTAGAAATTCCACTAAAATTATAGGCTTTATCTAAAGACTTACAATAAAGAATGGCAAACGTTTTGTAAATTGTACAAAATAGTTATTAAAATATTGAAATAAGATACTATACCCAAAACAATTAATTCAAAATAAATAACTCATCGAATTATCATATTTTATAAAATTAATAATTAGTTACGAAATTAAAAGAAACAAAGAATACAAATTAATAACACAATCTAATTGTATTAAATACCATTAATATTATACTGCAAATTTTATCTAGAAAATAAGGAAAAATAAAATTAGAACAGGTATGCATAATTTCATTTTTTAACGAGTCAATGATTTAAAACACTTTAATTGAATTCGGAGATGAGCAAAAAATATTCTTTTAATTATAATTCATACAAAGGTCAATTTATTACGGTATGTGGTTAATTCTAGTTAATTACTCGTCAAAAATTGTTTTACATGAATGAAAATTAAAATGGTCATAGTAGGACAATATTAATATATAATCTAGTCAATACAATTTTATTTAAACTATTCCATCATAAATGTGTACAGTTGTACTTGAATTTTACTAAAAGAAGATGGAATCTAGAGTAATGAAATAAACCCAAGCAATTAATAGTTCAAAATGTCAAATTATAATCAATCAAGGTTACAAATTAGGATAATCAATTCGAGTTTCGACACCTAGAAAAATATGATGGTAATTGCTAGAAAAACAATAAAGTTTATAAATAGAAGCTATGGATATTAACCAAAAAATCGAATTTCTCTGATATTTTGGAAGTATGTTTGCTTTATAAAGATTTTATGTATTTAGTATAAATAGTTAATATTTTTGAAATAACTGGCATAAAATATAACTATAATAATTTGAATTGCAATTCACAATAATAAAACTGTAATTCGAGTGAGAATAGTAAATGGTTTTACATTAACTGCCATGTTAGGTTAGCAAAACACGCATAATAACAATTTCGAAAAAAAGATCAAACAACTTTGCAACAAAATAAAATAAAAATATTACTATAATTTATACCACTAGATATAACGAAGTTCATTAATGGCACCCATCCATGACACGTATAATATATACTTTTAGTATTATAATATTGTGTGGCTGCACTGCTTTTGAGATAAATTGGAATCGAATATGAATTGAGGTTATCGTTTAAAGTAAATATTTAGTATCAGTTTTTAAGTATTATAAAAGTGTAACTGTTTTATAAAATAACATAAAAAATTAATAGTATTTTGTAAAAAAGTTATATTTAATTTTAGTTATATTATATAATCATGTTCAACTGTTCAACTAAAGCTATTTGCAGCAGAGGTTTCACACCAAACATCATCAGTGTTCGCTATAGACGAATAAATGTCCAGAAACCCAGAAAACCAAATCATTACCGAGCAGTTATAGAAGAAATAGCAAAACCTAAATATCCATTTGTGCAACCATATACTCTACCATGGAGTGAAAGATGTCCAAAACCATTGGTAAATACAACCAAAACAGTTGAAGAAAACCCATATGAAAAAATTTTAGCTCAAGAAGCTAAGGATTTATTTGAAAAGAGTGCAATGGTTGCGATATTTCATAAAAATCCAATTAAGGGTGAAATGGAATTTAAAACTATGAAAAATTTTAAAATGGCTGGAATGGAATATATAATCTATGGCAAAAGTACTTTAAAATTGGCCTTAGCAAAAACAAACTATGAAGCTGTATTAAAGTTATTTGAATCACACAGCTCAATAGTATTTAGTAGTACACCTCAGGTGCCAAAACTATTAAAATTGATTAAAAAAATGCCAAATTTGGTTTTATTGGCATGTATAGTGGATGGAAAACTACTGAGTAAAAATCAAACAATAGAATATGGAAGTTTAATAAATATTGATAATGCAAGAGCAAGACTAATTAGTGTAATAAGTCAAACAAACAATAGATGTTTGCACACTATAGGACAAACACAATTAACAATGGTTCGGTATTTGGAACAGTATGGACAGTCAACAGCAGAACTTAATAAAGAAAATAAGCCTACTGAAGAATCCGATTAATTTTAAGTATAGTTATGAACTTTTTTATAAAATGTATTTTATATTAATTATATGAATATTTAATTAGATTGATTTTCAAAATATTTGTAGAAAATTAAAACATGAATTGTATTATTGCAAATAAGAATTTTATTTTTAAAAAATCTAGTTTACCTTGAAATATTCATGAATTGATTAAGAAGATATTAGCTAAAACACATAAATATATCGATAACATGAATCAATTAAATTATGGAAATCATACTAATGTCGGCAAATGAAACATTTAATTTCTTTATTGTATACACATTATGGTTCCATTTTTTTTTCATTATGTTGCTGTTATGTTTGCAGTTATAAATGTATAACAATATGTAACTATTGTCAACTAATAATTATGTTCATACAGCATATTTAATAGATTGGCCAATTTAAACATCTCAATATAAAAGACTTGATAGTAACAAAAAATGAAATTTTAATTTACTGTTTGAAAGAAAAATTAGTTTTGAATAAATTGCATATATGTTAATTTAGTTAAGCAAACTTACAAAATCATTAAAATATATGTAATGCATATGAAAAAACAGGATATAAATCACAAAATACCCCAATGATAATAACCAAAAAATCATAAAATTGTTTTAATTTTAATTAAAATATATATTTTAATGAGAATACTTTTGAAATCAAAGTTATATATCATACATTGGTATAATCTGATATTGTTAAGTTGAATTATTATTTAAATTTAGAGTTCTTTATACATTATTATTTATCAATAACATTTGAGTGTGTAAAAGGACTCAAGTTAAAAGAGATTAATTTATCATGACAACAATATTACATTAATTAATTTGACAAAATTATTTTAAGACATTTACATTAAGACTTCTCCAATATTATGTTTGAGAATTTAATATTTAAATTTTCCATAGTTTCAATCACTAATAAGTTAATTTTGGTTTTTTGAAAATGAGCTTTATTAATACAAGGCATGCTTAAATGAGAATATGTGAAGACATTATATTTTTTACTAACCTATACTAAAAATTGTTTTCTCAAGTACAATGAACTGAATTTAATTTTTATTTTACAACTTATACCAAAAAGAATACTAGGAATTAATTTCTTGACTGGTTTTGAATATTTCTAATGTCTATTGTATTCTTAATTTTGCAAATTCCTATGGTAATTCTATCCTATAGTTTTCTTTGAGCAACAATAATTAATTAAAAACATAAAAACAAAAAAAAACATTATGAAGATCAATTACAAAACAGAGTTAAAAAGTAGGAATTATTGAAGTCAAAATCCAGTATTCTTAGCTTTATGGTAATGATTCAAAGAAACATACAGAAGGGTTGGGTTAATCTGAACAGGCTTGAGAATTATTGCATTGCGGTATATTATTATGTAAATACATTTAAAAAAAAATTCAATATTTTAAATGAATATGTAGATGTGTAATTTTATATACATACATAATAATTTTAATTGTACTCAATGTCATTTTAAATTATAAATAGACAAAAATAAATTTTAAAATCAAAATTCAGAGAAAATTGATTTGTTTTTAAGTCATAGGTAATCTGAACGACCCCTTTCTCCAAACTTATTTGGATTAATTTAAGCCTACTGTATTAATTTGATAGTATGCCTTCTATACAAGCTTCCATGATTAACACTTTTTAAAAATAATACTTCTAATTCTATACGAGACAAGATTTGTATGGGTAAAAATAAGTACAGTGGACTTCTCTTTACTAGATTTTTAATTTTTACAACATTTTGATCCATGGGTTATTTAGCAATACAACAGAGTAGTTTTGCTCTCCAACTGACTGGTTTGTCTTTAATTATCAATAGACTGATGATGAAAAGTAAAATACAAAATATACTTCAAATACATTGTTTCATTAAGAAAATGTATTTATTAATTTCCAAACATTTGATTCAGGTAAATCCTTTAACCAAAAATTAATTTTGATGTCATCAATATTTCATTCAAACTCAAAAATCATTTTATCAAATAGTACCGATCAAAAGACATTTTTAGAATCAATTAATAAATCATTGAGTGTTCTTTGCATTGGTGGCACCATGCCTACGAATACCACTAATTGAAAGTTTGAAAATTTATATTTTTCAAGAAATACAATTCATAGTGATAAATGTACAGAAGATAACATAATAGTTTTTAATAAAAAACCTTAAAAATAGAAAGGAAAAACAAAAACCAATTAGTCTTGGATACAAAAAAATTAATAGAATGAAAAAATGTTTCAACCAAAAAAAAAAAAAAATCAGTATTCACTACAGTAACAGGTATCCATGAAGAAAAAAACTACAAATACAATTAAACGTTAAAAGAAATAGACCATAACTATACGTATATAGGTATGGGAATAGGTGACATTGAAAAGCAACAATTAGAACATTTGTGTTATTGGACCAAAACGAAATAGTGTTCAACTACTATCAATACAGAACTCTTAGAACAACACAGAAGGAAAAACCTAAAACGGAAGTGTTATTGCAGCTCAGGCGAAAATAAAGCGCAGTGAAAGTAACCCGAAATATAGGTTGGATCACTTTCTTTCTTCGACGGATTTAGGACATGTACGCGGGGAGTGAGAGAGAGAGAGAGAGACCTCTACGTCTGAACATAAAAAACAAATAAAACAATAACAACAATACAATACCGGAGTTGACCTTCCCCGGTTTGGGCAGCGTGTCGCTGGTGGCCTTCTTCCGGCCGTCGCCCATCGACCCGATGCCACCGAACTGGCACTGCATGGCCGCGACGTCTTCACTTCGAGTTTAGCACTGAGCTCGAACAGATTTCGCGTGGTTAACGGCCAAGTATTGGGGCGACCATTTTATCGTCGACGACTGCACAACAGCAACCGGTTGACCGATGACGCAGAACACCAGCCCGTCCGCGGACTGGAACGGGCGGCAGACACACAAGGAACCGCTTGCCGACGGTCACTGGCGCTCATAGGCCGCCGCCGTCGTCGTCACAACAGACGGCAGAGCGCCTCCTACCCCCGCGATACCAATCGTGTTGGCAGCGTATGAACGAGCGACGCGGCAACAACAACAACAACAACAACAACAACAACAACAACTACAACGACGTCAAAATACGTCTCGTGCACAGACAACATTAACAGTAGTCGCAACTCGAATCACGGAAGACGGACGGACACACGTCTTGTACGCGACCGAGTGACGAAACGACCCGGCGGTGATAACGTTCGGCGCCCAATGAGAACGAGCGAAAGCCGACGGCGGTGGCCATATTTGCGCTTTTCTTTCACGAACCCGTGCTGTGCCGCTGCTTGACATACCTGTGTCCCGATCCATCTCACGAACCGGTTTTCGTTGATAAGCCCGTCGCACTATGTATTTAAATATTTGTGATCAAACGCTCTCCAACTACTGCGTCCTATCGTTGCCAGTCGGTCAACGTCGTCCGTCTTGTCGTACGTTAGCTTCTTGAAAGATTTTAACGCTAAGGCGCGACCCGGACGTTTTTTATTCAATTAAATGAACCTACGCAGATTTTATTTAAACATTTCGTTGGGCCTGTATTTAAATGCAGCCACTACAGGCACGTGTCTACAACGGCAAATTTCAATAAATTATTTTGTTATTAATTATTAAAAAAAAAAACTGTTTAAATTTTAAGAAATTGTGTTTAAGTGATAAAATAAAATTTGTTTTGTAGACTTACCTAGTTAATAAATATATATGTATGTTTTATAGTAGATAATTAAATGACATTTCAGTTACTGCAGTATATTATATTAGTCATTTAGAGCGGTAATTTCCCATAGGCCTACACGCGGAAAACATGTAAATACGCCTCTGCTTTTGAGCCGACCAACTAAAATGCCATCTCACGTACGACATACGACCGATTTAAAATGTAATTATTTTGATACTGGAATATTGATGTCATTGGGCAAATAGCCTAGACAATAAAATTTAAGTTTCAAAAAATAATTTCAACCCGTATTTTTACGAATATTTGTGCATACACATGTCTTGCCCTTTGTAAATTAGGTCTTACATGTCCGTGGCCATATAATTAGCGGAGAAACGTGGTAGACCGAGAATGGTAATTTATTTTTCAAGTTATTAAATTTTAAGCATAATTAATATACTTCATTTGTTCAATCATCTCGGTCTCCCACTTTATTTTCTCTACATTCTTTCTCTTGGATCTACTTATTGTACCTATTTGTTCCATCGTTTGTCTAAACGGTCAGATTACTTAGAACATAACATGTTATATTATGCATATCTGAACTATAACCTAGAACACAATCTTTTCACTCTCGTTTTTTCCCATAATTGGTGCAATTCCTAAACTGCTATTTATGTAGATACCTGTTTTTTATCTCATTCTCCCTAGTCTCTCCATATATCTTAGCATTTTTAACTTTGATTTTCACTTTACCTACTCATCCTCTGTTTCGTTCTCTATTCTTCACAACATTGATAGTCTCACTCCTTCATTATATACTTTATAATAAAATCTACCTTTCAATCTTATCGGCATCTTATCAATACACAATAGCTTCAACACATATTTTTACTTCAAGCCGGGACCGGATTGAGGTAGATCGGCTCACCGAGATGTACAAAATAATGCGGCTCATTATTTCCCAACATTTATAATTATTTCTTATTTATTCACTTACCTCTCCATCACCATGTAAAAAATAAAAATTCACATAAAAATATTTTTTATTTATTTTAAGCTATAACTAATCAAAACAGACATAACATTATACTAACTATAATTATACTGAAAAATATACATTTTTCCCAAAAGGAAATACTTACATTATTATCTATTATAATCAGTGGCGTATTTAAGGTTTTTCCGCCTCCTCCCCCCTCCAGCCTTCCAAAAATTATTAATAAAACATATTTAAATATACAATTTATTATATTATAATATTATATTAAAAAATATACATTGTTAATGAACATTAAATTACAAACATTAAAACTTTTAACTTTTTCCCTCAGCAAATGCATCAATTAAACCATCGCAATTTAAAGTCGACAGTAAATTCGCTTCGATATTCAATATAGCAAAACTATTGAGCTTTTCAGTAACCATAGTTGATCTTAAATAATTTTTGATTCATTTAAAACATGAAAAAGAACGCTCAATAGTATAGTTAGAAATTAGAGTACAAACATATATTCTAAGTGTTATACTCGTATCTATATTAAGACACACGTCCGTAAGAGTATCTTTTCGTAATAATTTACACATTTGTAAAGAAGAAATGCAATTCATTTGTTTATTTGAAGATTCCAAATAGGATTTAAATTGTATACATACTGTTAAAAATGCTTTTTCAATATCACCTTTGTAATATTCTTGTAACTCATTCGCAAATTCTATTATTTCCGAAGCTTATGGATTTAAAGACAGACGGCTTCATAACGATAAGCGGATATTTCCCTGTCATTATTTAACTATATACTATGTTGTTTGTCTATCTTTATATGAGAAATCGAACCCGCATTGAATGCGCGTATGTTTTGTTATCCATGTGCTCGTACTGTGTTGTGTATGTGTATAATATAGTAGGTACATGTAGATAGATGTTTAATTTTGAGCGAATAAAAAATTGGTTAAGATTGATTTCATCAAATGAATAAAACTTTTTATAATTTTGTAAAAAAAAAATCATTGAAATTTGCCGCCCCCCGATATTGCCGCTCTAGGCCTAGGCCTACAGGGCCTGTGCCTAAACACGAATCTGATTATAATTGAGGGGTTCGGTTCAAGAACCGTCTATCTCCACTTTTTGAAGTTGTTCAGGACAAACAAATAACCAAATTGTTTGATTTTTAATGGGGGTATAAATATTGTAAAAACATATTTGAATACTCCAAATGAAGAGCTACTTATGCAAGTATACATATTTACATTTTAGATTATTTTAATTACATAATTTAATTCGTAAAAATAAAGAAACATGGAGATACCTGGTTATTGTAACAAAATAATTTTTTTTTTCATATTTTGACTTAACAACAATTTGAGGTGAAAATATAATCACAAATAATACAAAACTGTGTAACATTAAAACTATGTATTATAAATTATGTTTTAAAATGTAGTATAAGAAAAAAAAACATTATACATATAATATTATGTTACATACCTTAAAAACGACTTAAATCTGGATTTTTACAGTTCTTGCAATGGTATGTTGTTTTACATTTTCGTCTGATTTCTAACATCAGATTCATAACTATTTAAAATTTAAAACTAGTAAGTATTTATTTTTATTTTTCAATTAATATATTTTCCATAATCGTAATGTTTCTAGATTAGAATATTATAACTATACGTCTACATACAACCGGTACCTAATAGAACAAAAAAAAAAAATAAATAAATAAATAAAAATATACAACTATTTTACCTGCTCATATTTAAATGATATACAGAACCTATTTTGAGCATGGACATTTATGACCTATTGCATTTTAGTGTACTCTAACAAAGTTTATTTAAAAATAATTATTAATAATTCATATTACCATAAATGCAATATTACTACTTGCATAACCGCATTACTTTTTAGGCTCAATGGATTTTATATTTACGGAAGACCAAAATGTAAACTATTTTAAATTTTAGGTACTATTAATATTATTAATACTAAAACCACCATTTATAATTTATCCAAACTTTAAGAGAGTTAAGTTATATTTAATAGTTGTTTGTGCAAAAAGGTAGTATTTAAAATGATAACGCAGTTTTATCAACTAATTATTTAAAAAATAATAAAAAAATAAAATAAAAATTAGTATATGGTCAATATCCGTAAATTAAAATAGAATCAAATAGTTTATGTATAGAATTAAATAAATAAAAAAAATAAATAAATAAATGCTTTGCCTTGAGTATTATTATATTTTTAATGTGCAATCGGATACAAATTAAAAATTCATCATCAGGTATGTAAAAAGTCAATATAGAGTCGCGATTTTTTCGAATTTGTATAAAACGCCAAGTATTACACTTAAACGGTATTTGTTTTTAGTACTGTGCGGCCTCCACAATTTCGCGCCAAGTTATTTGCTGATTGAATAGACAAGGCGTTATCAATGCTTATCATTCGTTGACACGCCTACCAGCTGCCGGAATCCAATCTTATTGTTGTACATTTTTCTTTTGGCGCCATAACGACTCACCAATGTTCGTTCTGCGTACCTAATTCCGCAGAACATATTATAATCAGCACCTAATGCGTTATGTCACTACCTACGTGCCCTTTACCGTTTGATAATAGCTTGGTAACGCTAGCGTCGCTGCTACATTTACGATTCGACGAGAGGTGAAAACTTGGAGAACACCGGTTCCGCTGGAATATCACTTGCTAGACGCTGAATCGTGTTTGTTTTTTCGCCGATCAACAGGCCACGGCCATCTCTTAAACTCTTCGACGCGATTACGATAATATACAGGTAAGTTTCCGGACGGAAATAAAACCACGACTTCGTGAATAATTGTAGTTCGCGGCATGGGCGTCACTGAAGTCCAAATTTTGGGGTAGTAAAGTTTATTTTTAAAAAGTTAAAAAATACATTTTTAAAGGTTTAACATGGTAATTGGCTTATTGGCTTAGTTGACTAACTGTTCTTCTTAGATCTTGGTATGACATATAGGACTTATCTTAAAATATAATTATTTTGGATACAATTATAATAATAGTTGGTTTATGTTCGTACATACTTGAATAATTGTAATTCATTTTTAAAATCTATAATTTTTTGGAGTAGCGAAAATATACTCTTGTTACCCCATAAAAATCTCTGAGGTAGCAAAGATAACGCTTGATACCACTTAGTGACGTTTATGGTTCACGGTTTTGTTCGCATTATTATATTAGTGTAAATTTCAGTTTGTACGTATATTACAAGTACAGCAGTCCTATATTTAGGGGAAGCACGGGTAGGCTCATGCCTCGGGGTGTTAAGTCTCAGAGGCGGCTAAATATTTTAGCAAAATTAATTTTAAAAATTATGTACCTAAAAAAAAATTAAGCAATAAAAAAAATAAAATAGTATGTTTTACTATGTTATAATTTGTAAATAAAAAAAAATTGTATTTTTATTATATTTTAATTTGTTAATTAAAAAAAAAAAGGAAATTGTATGTTTTATTATAAGTTATATTTTAAGATTAAAGAATCTTGATTATGGATGTAATAATAAGTGTTATTTTATTTTTATTTTTTGGGGGAACATAAATTATATGCTTGGTGGCACCAAATTTTTAAATACAGGCCTAATGTACAGTGCTCAATTACACAAAATTAAAGAAGGGGGCTCTATTTACATTAAAAAAAAAAAGCGTCCTTAAAACTTGTTAAGCGTTATTATTATAACATAATACTAGTTGGGAACACTAAAATTTCTGAAAATTAGTTAGGGTACTCCATCCCCCTCAATTTGATCACTGTATATGTACCTACGCTATTTGGATCGGAAAATTGCAGAGACTAATAAAAATCTTAATTAATATATGCACTTAAGGCACATGAACACAACGTCCCCGTTCGTGTTCTTTGTTCCTTAAAAAGAAAAAAAAAGATTATTGACAATATAAATATTAACAGTGCACATGTTTTTTACTCCTCTAAATCAAGCATCAGGTTAACCTAAAGATTTATGTACCTAACATTTATTTATTTTGATGCTGTGTCGATAGTGATCAATATATAATTGTAGTTGGACGTATAATATAAATTTAAGTATTTTGTGATCATTTATTGTATTAAATGTATAGAAATTGAATAATAAATGCTTAAAGTGGTACTTACATTATTTTTCTTTTAAATTAATATCATGCCCAAACTTGCCTACCTATTTGAATCAAAATATTTGCTTTCTAATATTTTCAGCCTTTAACAAAGGTAAAATGAACTATTTATAGTGCCCTGTTTATTTTTTAATAATTTACAAATTTGTTTGTCTTTTATTTTAAATATTAATGTATCACCATATTTTATATTAATACTTAGTAATAATTATTGAGTTTTCAACTATTGTTAGTTCCAAGTTGAAATTATTTTAATTTTGAGCTTCAGTCTATCAAATAATTAGTTCACAAAGATTTAAGTTTTTCGATAGTTAAAATAAACTTACGAATTGCTGAATTTATTTACTGCATTAGTGTATCAAGTTCAATATTATAATTATTTACTTATCAGCACTTTACTCTGGAACATAATTATAAAATGTACAACCAAGTTTTTTTATTGAAAATCAAAAAAGTAATGTAGGTATTCATCCAAATTAAATTATGCTATTTATTTAATATTTTTTAACATATTACCTACTTTAAGTTTTGTTCTTATTATCAATATTTTGTTTTTTTTGATATTTAAAAATTATATATTGTTAAATAGTTTTTTTATACTTAGATATTAAAATGTGGGGTACCGATACAAATGATGAAGGTGGATTTAATGTCACTATGACACAAAGTCCAGCCTCTGGACCAGAATTAAAACAGAATACTGTAATTCCTGTCACTATTCGTGAACTTCTAAGCAGTGATGAAGAAAATAAAAATACTCATGTCATAGTTGTTGGTATCATCAAGCAGGTAAAATAGTCTTTATTTGTTGTATATGTCTATTTCATTTTATTAAACAATGTGGTGTTTAAAAATTACGATTTCTTTTTCTTAAGGTTGAAACGCAGACTTTAAAAAATATGTTTACAATTGAAGACAATACTGGTATTTTGTTGTGTATTCAATGGGGTGATGAAAATGAACTTTCGAGATACCCAAAACTGATTGAAAATGCATATTTTAAAGTAGTCGGCAGTAAAAGAATACAAAATGATAAAGTGACATTGCTTTGTCATAGTGTGCGACCGATAGAAACTCTTGATGAAATAACACATCATTTATTAAGTATTATAGCCTTGCCATTACAAATCGAAGAAATCAATATGGTATAAGTTATTTACATATTATAAACATGATACAGCTGTTATTAATAACTATTTTATTTTATAGGCAAACAATGTACCACAATCAATTGGAACAAACAACAGCAACTTTTCTGTAAATGATAATAATAGTTTAGGATTAATTGATACAACCAACAGCTTATCCCTGAATCCAAAGCAATTAAAAGTTTACACAGTGATTAAGCGGTGCCAAGATGAGGCTGGTTACTCAGCATCAGATATACAAAAGATAATTCCTGAGAAAATGTCTTTAACAGAAATAGAGAAAATCCTATCATTTTTTATTGAAGAAGGACATATTTTCTCTACTATTGATGAGAACCATTACAAAGTCACAGATTTTGGAAATTAATCGTATAATTTATAATATTTTTTTACATTGATTTAAAATCAGAAACTGTTAAAGATTATATTTAAGATTAATAATTTTAAGGTACATTGCCACTAATATATAGTAATAAGTTAAATTTAATTTTACTAAACTTCAACTTTTCTAAAATATCTTAAATAACAAATAAAAAATCTTAAATACAAATCATGTTATAACAATATGCTTTTGAGTCATTTTATTTATATTTTCTAAAGCAACAAAATAAATTGTTTGGAATGCACTATTAAGATTGATGATGATGTTGGATTCTTTTTCCATTATCGATACTTGAAAGTCTTGGGTAATTAACAAATTCTTTTCCATAGTAAAATATTAATGACAACACACACATAACCATCGTACCCCAGAACAAGAGGAATAGATACGTTCCAGTATTATATTCTAAAACAAGTTTGGGTATTATTTCAAAATTTAATTAGACATTACTTTGAAATTTTAAAAATATTTTCTTACCTGAAGTAAACACTGCGTTGGCCATAAACATTGCAAATGCGATCATTAAAATCATAGGATACTAAAAAAAAATATATATTAATTACAAACATACAAAAAAAAATTGAATGTTAATTTACTAAACAAAGAATTTCATATACATTTTATTTCACCTCAGATTAATTTAAGAAAAATTAAAAAAAAATGTGTTATTTTGCTCTGTGTGAATTTACTTGAATTATTGATTAATGATTTCCAGGCAATGTTAATTACTATACATGCATTCTGATAATATTTGGTCATCACAAATAAATTGTTTAGTGAAATGTAATAGTGATAAACATCTAAACACTAAGAATTTCATGAAAAAACATCCAATTGAAATATTTTAATTATTAAACAATACAAATACTATAACTTTTTTAAATATATATATATATATATATATATGTATTTTTATAAATGATGGGATAGGAATTTTTTTTTGTTTTTTCCTTAATTATAGTAATAATTATTCATTGATAAAGCCCATTTCAATAAAATTAATAAACTATTTGTTCATATTTTATTGGTAGATTGTTACCTATCATCATCATTTTAATTAAAATTAAATCAATACTTAGTACTTACCATAAAATATTTGATAGCAGGCTTAACTTCTAATGGACATGGTAAAGACACACCTTCATTTACATTTACAATATAATTTCCTAATATTAGATCAATGCAATCCTATACAAAATCAAAACAATCCATTATTTTAACAATATTAAGGTAACAAATATGAGTAAAAAGCCAAGCTTTAACAAGAAAAAAAAATTGCTTCAAAAATAAAACTAAACTATTTCAACAATATTGATATTCTTTTTACTTGACGAACTCCATCTCTGAGATTGTTTTTGTAGTATCGGATAAGTGAATTTTTTAAATCTCTAAACATGCCATTGTAAGTACGTTTACCAGTACGAGTAAAATCTGTTTTTAAAGCTCCAGTTCCAGAATATTGGATTGATATTATATCAGCATGATCAGCCCATACTGATTTGAATAAACTTTCAAAATCTAATTGATCTTCAACTTTTTGTCCAAAATTCAATATATCCAATTTCTTAAAAAAACAAATTACAAATGAATGTATAAATATATTGTAATTCAAAATAAATTTAAATGTACACAAAATAAAAATAAATATAAAAATATTTTACCTGCAACATAATTGTCAACATTCTACGACCTAATAAACTTTGTACAACATTTGTTCGGTCCAAACAGTCAACACAGTTTGTTCTGAATACTCCTTTTTGTGAGATAAGTAATTTACCATCAGATCCAAGGAGGAAGTATTTTAAATTGTCTTGCTCATGAGCAACTCTATTTACCAAAATTGAAAGTCTATCCCACCTCATTTTTTTGCATTCACTATGAAAATCAAAAGCTTCATATTTAATTTTATTATCCTCTAATAAAATGACAATATCACGAAATTTGGTTTCCAGTTCTTGTTCTGCACCTCTATGATCAATCTTTTTTTTTTATTTTTATAACCAATAATAAAATTAATATTGTTAAAAAATGAAATTAATAAAAATGATCTCTTACCAAGTTTATCAAAATTTGCTGACCATAAATAGAAATTTGCTCATTAAAATGTTTATTAGCAGCTTCCAAATGATTTTCACTTTGAGCTATTTGCATAGCAGGCTTATATTTAAGAGTGGGATACTGAGTCCAATACAAAGGAATTGATCCTCGAGTCTAAAGAAGGTAGTTAATTAATTTTGATGGTAATAATTACTTACATTTACATTATACCTGAACGTAAGAACTCCGAGTGTCATTATATTCTACTATCATTTCTGTCTCAACAAAATTAGCAACATTTCCATTTTGATCAATACCACGTTTAAATAATCTTGGTCCATGGCGATTTCGTGATCGTCTAGATACAATGGTCCAAAAAAATTCTTTTCCATTTAAAATGCAATTATTGATTGCAATGACTAAAAAATATAAAAATATAGAAACGTAGAAGATAAAACTAATATAATTATTTAAATAAATTACATTTAAATATTTTATTATTAAAAACAATTTTAATTTATAACGAATCTATTTTTTTAAAATCTAGATTTTTTTTGTGGTTACAAATAACGATAGTAAGTTTTTTTTTATTATTTTCAGGTTCCTCTTTATTCCAAAATTAGATGCAAAAAATTAAAAATAAATATTTTTAAAATTATGTATACTTTAAAATATGTTTTTGTATAATCTACAATGGCAACAAAGATTAATATGTTATTTTAAGCATTAGATAATAGAACATTAATACAGAGTATCTAACTTATCTAAAATCATACAATTAATTGATTAGTCAACCTCTTGATTTAATCAATTATTAATTGTAACTTACATCCATGAATGATGGGAACACAAAACTCTTGGTGGTCTAAATTAAAGTTATTCAGTAAATAATAGTTCCACAGAAATCTTTGATCCGCTCTTTCACATATTGGAACCTACAATTTATATAAATAGGTAAAATAATAATTGCAATAAAAAATGAAAATTTAAAGTTGTATTCATTGATATTTAAATGGATGTTTTTTAGTCTTAAAAAAAAATTTAAGGATTGAAAAAAAATAAAAATAAATACTGCTAATAAGAAATGTCTACATTACTTTCAACCATTTAAAATTTGATATAAAATTAATAAAATAGGATATAAAATAAGTTTTACCTTAAAGGTTCTAACTCATAACTATAATCTTTATAAAATATACTGATATGTTAATGATTTAATAATTAATCGTTCATTTTCTACAGCTGAAGTTAATTAATTTTAAAATAATCTTACATTAACAAAATGAGCAGAAGTATTATACAGCCTCTGCATAGTATTTGTTAAATCATATGTATATGAAAAATAGTAATACGGAGTATTCAAATTTTGTTTGACCATATTTAAATATTCCCTATCCATTTGGACCTGTAAAAGTCAAAAATTTCACATTAATTAAATTTTTTAAATTATTATAATTTCAAATAAATAAATTATAAATGTATATACTTGTGTTTCATTTAAATGAAGCTTAGTTTTAGGCAATGGTATCATATCAGTTTCTAACAATTGCCAAATATCATGACCATTAATTTTACCAATATGTTTTTTTTCTTTGATCACAATAATGTAAGGACCAACTAAGAGATTAACAATACCCAGTATACCAGATATTTGCTGACGGTTTGATTCATTTGGTATTTGACCTTTATTTGCTAAAATACAGACAAGAAAATAATAAACAATATTGAAAAATAAAATAAATAAATAAAAGCATAACATTTATGTTTAACTTTTACAATACCTAGATAATAGTATTAAGTAATGTTTTATGAAATGAAATTAATATTTGAGTGAATGAAATATTGTAATAAATTATTTTTAGATTCTAATAATATAAATTTATAATAATATAAATACATTTTAAAAAATGTTGAAATAAGAATGAAATAACATATACTAAATTTAATTTAATAATTACTATATATATATTATGAAAAAATATTTTGATAAACATAGATTAATGACCAAAATCAAATAATTTAAACAATCAAGGAGCAAAATTATAGTTATAATGGTAATTTAATAATAACTTTGTTTTTGAGTAGTAAAGTCAACTCGATCGATGTTTAGAATGACATTTGTATTTTGTACTGGTTCAATGAATATATTATCTGGACATATATATCTGAAAATGACAAAAAATAGTAATTATTATCATAAAAATAATTAAAAGTAATATGCCCTGTGTATAAAATGAAAAGTTTTAAATTGCTATAGCCGATATTTTTTTTAAATTCAACTTAAATTTAATTTAGGTACATTATAATGATATAAAACTTTTAGTTAAATCTATATATATAAAATATTTCTACCATTTTGAAATAATTCTAATTTAGTTATTATTTGTCCATTAGATAAATTTTATCCTCAAGTTCATTAATAAATGTAATTAATATGTGTAAGGGTGCAATATTTTGTTTTTTACAGTTTTTATAACTGCCAATTATTTCAAGACAATGGAAATACAATTTGTAAGTAAAAATATATAATACATATTGTACTTTGAAAATATTCTTGAATGTGTTTTTTTAACCTTTTTTCTAATTGTGCATTGAAATAACTGACTACTAATTCAGAGCTAAAAAATACTAATTAATATTCAATAATAATAGTAATAATAATTAAGTTTAATGTATAATCAAGTTTGTTAATAAATAAGCTGAACAATCGAAATTGAAAACCTAACATTGGGGTTAGATAATAATATCAACATAAATAATACAAAAATATTGGTGTTATATGGAAACAGAGTTTAAAATTATTTTCAAAACATCCAACTAACAAATGGTTTTACAAAATATCTAACATTTCACTAAGCAATACTTACAAGTAGAAATTTTCATAAATTGACATAGAGTCTTTGGGGACTACAGACTTTGGATTCATGTTTGATCGAACCGCCAAAATTTTTTGTATATATTTATGCTCTATTTACTGTAAGTGATGTTGGAACTTATTTAAGTTTGACAGAAAAAACAACGTAAGAAGTAAATCGTAAGGCTGTCAACCAGTCTCGTTAATATCTCAAAACCGCGAACAATTAAAACTCTAAGTTCATAACAATCCTATCGAAAAAATAAATATAAATACTGAACGATGATCCAACGATATACATTATAGAATATAGTTGTGTTTTATCACGATAATTTTTTTGTTTTTATCACGTCACAACAATAATAATATTATCAACAGGCGGAGAAACATTGCCATATAAATATATACACCACCTGTCCTATATATTTCTATGCGGATAAACGATGATTGGAATCTGCGTCGGTTCAATATTCTTAATTTTCCGCGTTTTTATCAAACATATGTGATCAATTTTCCAATTACAATTTCTTACGGCAGCGGTTCTTAACCTTTTGTAAATCACGGACCCCTAATGAAAGATTTTTAGAAATTGCGGACCCCCTTCTTTTTATTTTAACTAATTTAACTAATTTTTTTTTCGAATACTTTTTTTTACAAAACATCTCATGTTATTGAAATTAAAATTATTATAATTATTTTATATTAAATTACAATAAAAGACATAACAAAACATACATATTTATAATTCTTTTTATTTCACTTAATTTTTCAGTTAACTTAAATTTAATTATTTTAGTTTTCATTTCTTTTTTTAATAATTTTAAAATTTAATTTTTTTTAGCTTAATACAATGGTCGGGACCCAAGTTTTATAACATCTTATAATTATAAAGTCTATCTATTATATAATAAAAATATATGAAAAAAAATCGGTAATCGAAAATCGGGAAAGTTCCGAATCGCGTCGATGTGAACTATGACTATCGGCTTCACTAAAAGAATTTTTTACATTTGCGATATATTTAATAAAAGAAAATTCTTAATAAATATATATACATATAATATTATATAATAAATTATTTTATTGTCCATGGTTTGCGACCACTTAGACATAAAATTATCCTCGGCCGTAGGTACAGATATATAATATCCATGGTCTTCGATTGTTTTCTATAGTATAGAATCTATAGGGTTATTCTGTGACCATGTCTGCACCAGATGTGTAGGTACAACAAACACTTGATGATTATCATTGAAAAATATTGTCGCCGACACGTGGGACAAAAATTAACTCTCATCACCGGTCGCCAGTGTACATCAAAAGTCCTTCGGAAATTTTTTAGTCAATTTTTTTTTTATTATTATTAATCGTTTCTCCACGACCCAACGGGCGCCCAAAGAATAGACGTCGCCTTGAAAAATACTACACGAACCTTGTTATCCCGTACCGCGAATTGGTTTATTATACGTATGGCATCCATAAGTGCCCTAATTAAGGACAGTTCGCTTTGGGTGATGAATTTTTGGCTTTTTTTTTCTCTAGTAGTCTATATCCCAATATTTTTTATGGTATTTATTTATTTATTTATTTATTTATTAGCAAGACAAACTTCTAATAACAAACTGTACATCAGTTATATATTTGCACTCCTAATCAGAGGCAGTTTTATGGGGGAAGGGGAGTTCAAGGACTTTGGTTGGTTTCAATCATATGAAAAAAAATTTGAAATTTATAACATTTTTTTTAAATATTGAGTCATAAAGAATAATTCCAATCAATTAGGAAAAAGACACATGGAAAAGGAAGATATTTTTCAACAATAATAATAGATGCCGCTTCTATATAAATATATATTTATATAAAAAGAATCCAACATCTGAGGAAAAAAAATTCTGTGGGCAAAATTTTGTTCAGGCATTATGCATTTGAGTACATGCAAATATGTGAAATCACTACGTTATCTGATGCAGTTACTATAAGTAATATTTTTAAAAAAAATTATATATTACGCGTATCACGATCACGTAGAATGCAATGGTTACAGTTGTAAAATTTAAATTAAAAACATAATAATACTGGATCGATACTACGCGTTATAGGTACCTGCGGGTACGTCTGTGAATGGGGGGAAACGACAATAATCCATCCAGACATAGACTTTCGTGTTAGGTACCACGACGACGTAACGGCACATGCGTGTTGACGAATCGTTTGGATGAAGATACCTCGGGGTTAAAATATGTAGATAACAAGAATAACGCATTGTATTAATGTTTTATATTATACAAAATATAATGCAATCGAATAGTAAAACCTTCGTACATTGTAGCACAAGAGTAGGTACAGAAAACAGAATCCAGACAAAAAAAACAGAACCAAAAACAAAACCCAAATTTATGAATACACCTTGGCCGTGAAAGATTAAAATATGTCATGTAATAGGTATTACTGCAGCTGGCATTATATGTACACGACTGACGTATGTTGCTATATATATATATATCTGTTAGATAGTATACAGTGGCGCATCTGCATCAAATTAGTTTATTCGTGTAGTGCGTTGAAGGAGGGGTTGATTTTCAATTTTTATAAACAGCTGTACTTAATGACTGTTTGCCATTCCCCCTTCCTTTCACACAAGAACCTTTAGAATCGTTTTTCGCTTTATTACATCCGTTTTCTATTTTATAATAACTCGTTAGAATATTAATATTGATAAATACTTACATATAAATATAATTACAAGTTGAAATAATAAGTAGTAAGTTAGAAAATATACGTTAGAAAAAAAATACCAAAATAATACTTTTTACGTAAGTACACATAAATCTAATAAATTGAAGTATTCATTTGCAAGTTCAGAAACTCATGAAACAGGTTAACAAAACACAAAAGACACTATTAAATACCTAGAAAAATAATTATTTTTACGCCGATTATTCGGAGCAATATCGTTCTTGATTCTTGTTGGAGACCAGTTATTATTAGCTATATATCCACCGTTCTCAATTGCTAGCGCCATTGTTGTTATTAAAATTGCTAACGGTAATGGCTAATTGAAGTACTATAATAAATATTTGCTTTTTTCGTTTTTACTTTTATTATCCTTAAATAATTAATATTCCTTTAATAATATTATAAAGCAGTAACCTTAAAAGGTTTGGGATTCACTACGCACCTGGCCAACCCTACTAAAATAATGCCATGGTTATACAAATTTGTTATTTCAATTATTTATATAACTATAGTTAAAATAACATGTAATGCAGGTAGATTAATACAAATAGTATAAATCATCATTAAAAAAAAAAAAAAAAAGTTAAAAAAGTATAATAATATATAGATAGCCTAACATTTATTCAAAATGTTTCATTATAATCAAAGGTATAATCTTTTAACAGAAATTACAATATACAAAAATAAAAATAATTTGTTTACGTCATAACATTGATTAAATAATATTAAATTAAACCAGTATGAAGTTAAGATTTCTATAAAAAAAAAAAAATATATTAACCAACTGTGATAACTTATTTAGGTATAATATAAATTCATTACATTATATTATTATTGTTGAATTATATTATAAATATAATTTGTACTGCATTTAATATTAAAAAATATTACAATATTTTTTCGAAATGATTTACTAGTGACTAGCCTGGTTAAAATTTTAACGAGATCAAGATAATATTATTATATATCTATGTAGATGGAAAAAATATCAATTTAACCCCGTAACAAAATAAAAAATATTTAAATACGTGTTCAAACATATTTTTGTTCAACAAAGGCAAATTGGGATGGTGCATATTATTGACCGAGGTATGTGATACTTACTTTTTTTTTAAAATTACAAATTATTTTCATTTGTTGATAATGGAAAACAATTCTAGAAGCAATTAATAAATTAAAAATTTATAAAAAGAAACATTGTAACTAATGTTTTAAACATTTCAACTCTGATAAAGAGCCCTTCACCACACTCATGATGTATATTTATTATCTAAAGAGACTACAAGCAGTCGAAAATTCTAATTATAACAAAAAAAAAATTAAATACAGGAATTCTATGCAATGTCAATAGGTATGTAATTGTGTATTCCAAGAAAAATTGTTGATATTGATATTTGATTATTATCATTTATTATGTACCGTTATACTATAAACTATTACTTACTTAGATAAACATTTTATGAATGGTTTATTTTTTATGAAAATATTAACTTTTTATAA